GTACTAGTACGAGTACTAGTAGCAGTAGTAGTAGTAGTAGTAGTACTAATAATAATAATAGTAATAATAGTCTTTAGTAGTAGTAGTAGTAGTAGTAGTAAAAATAATAGTAGTAGTAGTAGTAGCAGCAGTAGCAGTAGTAGTAGTAGTAGTAGTAGTAGTAGTAGTGGTAATAATAATATTAATATTTGTGTCAATAATAGTTATAGTAGTAGTAGTAGTAGTAGTAGTAGTAGTAGGAGTAGGAGTAGGAGTAGGAGTAGGAGTAGGAGTAGTACTAGTAGCAGTAGTAGCAGTAGTAGTAGTAGTAGTAGTAGTAGTAATAGTAGTAGTAGTAGTAGTAGTAGTAGTAGCAACAATAATAGTAGTAGTGATAATAATGAGAGTAATAATATTAGTGATAGTGATAGTTATAGTAATAGTAGTAGTAGTAGTAGCAGTAGTAGTAGTAGTAGTAGTAGTAGTAATAATAATTCATAGCATTAGGCTGTTAACCTTATCGGCTCGTTTTACTGATCACGGTTTTACAAGCTGAAACCCCCCAAAAACTCCGTAGACTAAGCTACAATAACACCTCTTATTATACAACTGGCATTGGCAAGGGACTTGAATGGAAGACACTGGGCCAGAACACCAGGCCCGCAGTCAATCCCTGCCCCAGAAGCCACAGCCACAACTTCCACGATTTGACTTTGTGATGCTCCGCTATAATCTCTTGGGAAGCCTTGAGCCTCCCGGCAAGCTTGAAGGACCTGTGCACATCCATGGACTCAGCACCAACTTGCTGCGATTTTACTGGACACCGGTGCTCGAGCCGACTCGTCTGCGGGAGCGAGAGCAAGGCACGAATTTGACGGTGAGCTTGTAGAGGCTTGCTGTTGCATTCGGGCGCCGCGATTAGCTGCGCAGCATGTGTGAGCATACGACATATACAACTCCCATGAATGCGAAATCTGCGATGCTCAGGGCCATACCAGGACATATCGATTCGCTCCGTCTGCCCCCAAAAGCAATGGGACGCTGGCCAATCCTAAACTCCTACAAACGCGATATGTTTGCCACCCTGACTAAGTCAGATCCTGAAGATCGGAATATATGACTTCGGGAAAATTTTGGTACCTGAACATGTACGTGCGACACGTGTGTGTGTGTGTGTGTCACGTGTGTGTGCGTGTATGTGCTAGATAGCAGGATTATCGTGATAAAGACCCCCCCAGCGCGATCCGTGTTTCAACAAACCACATGTGGAGTTCGCGTACCGCAAGGCTGACAAACCTGAGCTCAGATTCGCAGCCGAAATCGTGGATGCTGCAAGCTGCATGAAGCTGTTTCCTTTGCTAGTCTCCGCGAGCGGAAACACAAATCTAGACTCACCGAAGCCCCGATGTAATCCCTAGGTGAATTCACTTTATGGACACTTCGAAAATGTTTGTCCACATACATACGTACCATACATACATGCATACATACATAAATAAACACAGGCATACACACGTACATCCCTGCATGCATGCCTGTATGCATCCATACATACATACGTATGTTCGTGCGTGCATACATGCATACTTACAAAACAAATACAAACTTATGTGCATACACATACATACATACGTACATACATACATACATACATACATACATACATACATGCATACATACATACAGACTTACATACATACTTAATTACATACATACTTACATACACAGACATACATAGACATACATAGATAGACATAGACAGACACACATACATACATACTATCAAAACACAACATGACAGAACATAGCATAACATAAGATAACATTACATTACATTTCCATACATTAGCATGCATACATACATGCATATATACATACGTACGTACATAGATACATACATATACACATATCTGTCTATTCTGAGTATATGTGTCAGCCGAATCCCAGCCAGTAACAACTCTTAGTGTCATAAGACATGAAGACCTACCTTAAGATATCAGCTTCACGATTCTCGGTCTTGCAAGCGTCGATCCAGCGCATACCGCAACAAACAGGGTTTGGGGGTTAAGGTCCGCAGGGAGCTCGTTACTCTACGAAGAGTATATGAGGTAGGGCATTCATTTATTGCTATTCTGCCACAACAAAGCACAGACTGTCACGATTCTTCTAACACCCCCAACTCAGGTGCAATGTAGGGCCTGAACAAGTACAATGTCCCTTCCTCAGAGTTTCTTACAAAACTTGCCATGCTACCGTAACTCTTTAACCATTCCTTCATGGAAGCCCATCTAACTGTTGAGGCCCCTATCCATGCGGGTCCATGAACTCATTTGGTATAGACGTTGATCATCCCTATACAAGTACTTTTTATGTACTTTGGGGCCAAAGAAAATTAGCAATTTTGCCTGGACCCTTGCAGTTAATGGAACCCCTTACGTGATCCTTTAAAGGGATCCTATTGCAGTCTTGGCTAAGGCCCCTACTGACCCTAAACCCTGAACCGTTGTAGTACCCTTATGGACCCTGCAAAGGAACCCTCAAAATACTGTAGGAATCTGAACAGTTCGAATGGGTTTCGGTGTATATTCATACTATACATATAGTAAATAGTATCCTAAACCCTAAACCCAAAGCCCAAAGCCCAAAGCCCTAAACCCTGAACCCGAAACCCGAACCCCTAAGCTGTAAACCCTAAGCCCTTTAAGTCCTAAACCCTATAAGTCCCACACCCTAAACCCGAACCCCGAAGCCCTAAGCCGTAAACCCTAAACCCTGAACCCGAACCCATTTGAAGAACCCTGTGGGTCCCTTTTTCAGGGACCCTAAGCCCTAAACCCTAAACCCTAAACCCTAAACCCTAAACCCTAAGCCCTTTATGTTGCAACCAGGGAGCCTCCGGGGCCCTCAGCAGCCCTGCCCGCCGAGAAAGCGATGGCAAGTCAGGGAAGGATTCAGAACCAGAAGATCACCAATCAGCCTGGGATAGGGGGTTTAGGGTTTAGGGTTTAGGGTTTAGAAGATCACCAATCAGCCTGGGATGGATGTTCTTGTTTGAGGGTCTGGGGTTTAGGGTTTAGGGCTTAGGGTTTTGGGTACTCAGGGTCTAGGAACCAGGAGATCACCAATCAGCCTGGGATAGGGGGTTTAGGGTTTAGGGTTCTAGGAACCAGAAGATGACCAATCAGCCTGGGATAGGGTTTATGGATGTATGTGGGGGGTTTAGGGGGTTCATGGCTTTTGAGGTCTAGGAACCAGAAGATCACCAATCAGCCTGGGATGGATGTTTTTTTAAGGGTCTGGAGTTTGGGGTACTCAGGGTCTAGGAACCAGAAGATCACCAATCAGCCTGGGATAGGGTTTATGGACGTGTATGGGCTTAGGCCTTAGGGTCCTTCGGGTTAGGCTTGGTCCCCGATACTCCCAAAGACTTCAATGTGGATCCCTTGCGTCATCCAAGGAATGGCAATAAAGACGCCTGCGTTGGGAATATCAAAATTCTTCTGGACTACCACTTATAACTAACTGTTATCAGAGGATGCATTTAGGGCTTAAGCTTAGGGTTTAGGGGTTAGTTCTAGGGTTGGGGGTTTAGGTTCAGGATTTACGGCTGAGAGCTAGGATTGGGGGCTATGGATCGGGGCTAAGGGATGTTCAGGGATTAGTCGTAGGCTTTCGGGCTTCGGTTTGCGGTAGGGCTCTATAACCTTCGGGGCTGAGTACCCTAGCCCAACCCTAAACCCTAAACCCTAAACCCTAAACCCTAAACCCTAAACCCTAAACCCTAAACCCTTTTCTTTTATAGTAAGACTATAAGAGCCCCAAAAGGATAAAGGTTACCTACTCAGCCACTAAGATAAGAAGAAGGAACCCAAACATGGCAGGCTGTGTGGGGATAAGGTAGGGACTAGAAACCAGAAGATGCCCTAAACCGCCTTGGATAGGGTTTAGAGGCTTAAGGATTTAGGGGTTTAAGGGTTTAGGGGTTTAAGGGTTTAAGGGTTTAAGGGTTTAGAGGTTTAAGGGTTTAGGCTTTAGGGGTTTTGGGTTTAGGGTTTAAGAGTTTAGGGTTTAGGGTAGGTTCGGGCCTTTTCGGGGGAGAAGGTAAGTTTAAAGTGGTCTGCTCATGGACTTTCCCGGATTTTCAGGCCTCGTGTTCCAGGGATGGTCGGATCTAGCAGGAGTTTGGAGTCTGCTTTTCGGGGGCTTAAAGATAAGGTCCACGGTTTAGGGTTTAGGGTTTAGGGTTTAGATAAGGTCGATTTACTCACTCCATATGGGCACACATGGAGATATGGATAACCCTAAACCCTTTCAGGCCTCTAGCCGGGAGCCTGCACATTAGCTATATTAAAGGCCGGGCAACGTGTAGAGCAAGCCGAGTCCAAGAATCGCCGTGGCCAAAAATGCGAACAACGGTCTACGAGACCACGTTTCCTTGCGTTCTTGCGCTTGCGCCTTCCTGAGATGTTCGGGTTGATTTTCGGGATCTCAAACGTCAGAACAGGTTTTGGAGTAATATTACTCAATAAGGGGCCTAAGTTATAGTACTCGTAATGTCTATTCGGGTTCAGGGAGTTGTTTCAAGTTTCAAAACCATTGCAGCTTTTTGCGAAACACTGAACCCTAAACCCCTAAACCCTGAAGCCTATAGACCCTAAAACCCTAAACCTCAAACCCTAAACCCCTAGACCCTAAACACTGAAGCCCTTAAAGCCCTGAACCCCAAATAGCCTGTACCGTAAAACATTCTTCCCTGTGGCCGCCCGACCCTTCAATACTCACAAATATCACCCTAAGTGTCCATGTACTCATACAATATATACATTGGCCCCAAAGGACGTTTAGGGCTCAAAGCCTTTAGGATTTAGGGTTTAGGGTTCAAGGTTTAGGGGTTATGGCATTCTCGAACAACATGTTTACCACAACCAAGGAAGCGACACACTTCCCAAATCTACATCTACGGGGCCGGCGATCCTTTTGCAAGCTACGTATATTCATGGCCGTGAAACGTAAGAAATACTCTCAGCTAGTGCATGTCCAGCTTCTGCATAGGCAGCAGGGGCAGCGTCAAGAAACAGAGTAATGACATGGTATACGACAGCAGGAAAGAGGAGGCTACCGTCCAGCGAAACTCCGGCGTATCCTCGACGTAGTTCCTGAGCTGGAGCTCACCGATCGGGGACCCGAAGTGAAGAATCCCCGAACCCGAAACCCTAAACCCTAAGTCCCAAAACCGGAAACCCTAAACCCCAAACCCCTAAACCCTAAAACCCGAAATCCTAAACCCGAAACCCTAAACCCTAACACCCCAAAACCGGGGAAACCCTATAGCCCAAAGCCCTCCCCAAACCGGAAACCCTAAAACCGCAAAACCGCGGAAACCCAAAACCCCAAACCGGGGAAACCCTAGGGTTTAGGGTTTAGGGTTTAGGGTTAGGGCTTAGGGTTTAGGGTTTAGGGTTTAGGGTTTAGGGTTTAGGGTTTAGGGTTCACTGATTGTTGGGCAGATCCCGCGCTTGCGGCGGAGAACTTGCCGAAGGCTTAAAGGGCTCCACGTCTCTTGAGCTTTGCTTTTAGGGTTTAGGGTTTCGGGTTTATAGGGTTTAGGGTTTCGGGTTTCGGGGTTCAGGTTTCGGGTTTGGGGCTTGGGGTTTAGGGCTTCGGGTTTATAGGGTTTAGGATTTGGGGTTTCGGGTGTAGGGTTTAGGGTCTTGTACAGCGCAACCTCTACCCGTAGGTAAACCAAACCAACCTGACGAGAACAACATGGGACACTCACGTTGACGGCTTTCTGTCCGGGAACCCTGAACTGGAACTCGTACTCAGGGATGAATGGATGGCCGGGCTTCTGTTTCAAGGAACTCCCCTTAAGACTCAGACAAACCTACCTACCTTCAGTGGTGCACTAAACCGTAAACCCTAAACCCTAAACCCTAAGCCCTAAGCCCTAAGCATTTAGCATCTGGAGTTTGACATCCGGAGCCCTAACTCAGATGACACAATGACCTGATGGAGGTGACAACTTAATTCCTAACCTAGTTCTAAGGACTTTAGGAGGGACCCCTAATAGGGACCCTGAATCCCATTACCTTAAATAACCATTGTATCGTTCTTATATACCCCTTATATAGCCAGGTAGTCTCCATACTAACCCCAATAACCTACTAAAGCCCTTAGACTAGTGTATGAGTCGGGTCCTGGAAGGGGGGAAAACGGTAAGTAGCAAAGGACGGGAGCTGGATTTTGGGGTCTCGGCTGCGTCCGTATTGCTATAGTGTCCTGAATGATTAGACTAGGGTTTGGGGATACTTCATACTATGTTTTTAGTAAGGAACCCCACATAGAAACTACAGTAACTAATCATATTGGTAATTATTCAGGCCTCCTCAACCCTAAACCCCTAAAACCCCCAAAAATCCCGAAAGCCCTGGACATCACCGGCCATTCCCTGCTAGATCGTCGCCCCCTCAAGAGAACCCGACGTGCGACAAACTCAGCATCCAAGAATCCTCCTGACAGAGAGGTCTGGGGTGAACATGGAAAAGACCTTCCATTCAGGGTTTAGGGTTTAGGGTTTAGGGGTTTAGGGGTTTAGGGGTTTAGGGTTTAGGGTTTAGGGTTTAGGGTTTAGGGTTTAGGGCAGGGACAATGCAATCCATAAAACTTGCTGCACCTTTATGAGGGAGTGTCATCACCTTGAGGGTTCCGGTGTATTGGGGTAGGGCCCTCCCATGTTACGGCCCCTTCATTCGAAACTCCTCTACTTAGGGGCTGAGTACCCTAGCCCCAAAAAGGTTAACCTTTTGAATTATAGTAGGATTATAAGAGCCCCAAAAGGTTAAAGGTTACCTACTCAGCCACGAAGATAAGGCACCTGATTCGAAATGATGACGGACAGCTGTTGCCCCACCGCTGGAATCGTGTTCCTGGGCTGTTCCCACTCGTAGTTTTGCTCGTCTTGGTAATCTAGACATCCACGCTAACATATCTCATATGTCCGCGACCCCGTCGCCCTGACCCTAAACCCTAAACTGACAGAATGCTGCCAGGACCCTCATAGGACCCTTTCAAGCCCTCAAGACAGCCTGTACCAACATCTTCACCCCAAAGCCCTTTTCTCCTAAACCCTTTAAACCCTAAACTCACAAACCATCAATGTCAAAATATAGACCCCGTAAACGGCCCCTTATAGACCCCGTAAACGGCCCCTTCACAGCAAATCTTAACCTCCTACACCCTAAAGCACCATGTTCAAAAACCCATTGGCCCTAAAGCAGTTCCTTCTTGGGGTTCATATATAGAATCCTATAAGGTAACCCCAAAAAGGAACTACTATGGGGCCTACTTGGAGGCCCAGGGGACTTAGTAAGTAGGTTATAAGTACCCTAAATGGAGTTACACCAATTATAACCCTACTTATAGCCGACTTACTAAGTCCCCTGGGCCTCCAAGTATGGGTTGAGCCCATAAGGGAGCCCTGGAAGGAACCCTCCACTCCAGGGCTCATGAGACCGGCCACCAATGCGCAGTTACCTGGGTTTAGGGTTTAGGGTTTAGGGTCTAGGGCTTTGGAACTCAGGAACTCATAGGAAGCAGGGGCTTTACAAAAGCTGTGAGGTGTAGAACCTAAGACTGAGAAGGGGCTTTACCAAGGACCTAAGAAGGGGCTTGACAGAAAAGTATGGGAGTTCAGGATCTGAGAATGAGAAGGGGGCTTCACAAACAAAGGACAGGGCGTGTTTAGGATCCGAGGAGGGGCTTTACAAAAGGTATGGGGCTTTAGGATTTAGCGAATTATTCGATATAGGGTTCAAGGTCACGATTAGCATCTCGCAGGGCTTTGCCGAGGGTTTAGGGTTTAGGGCTTGGGGTGTGATTAAAAAACTTGACCCTTGACTTGGCATGATCTGGTTCAGGATTTATATTGGGCTTAACTGTTTACAGTGTTATAGCCCCCCCAAACCCTAAACCCTAAACACAAATATAGGACTTAACTGCTTACATTCTTATAACCCCCTAAACCCTAAACCCTAATTGCTAAACCTTAAACCCTACATTGAACTGGTTTGCTATTTAAGATCCCAGGCGCTGTCGTCTGCAAGCTCGTTGATTAAGAAAGTGGTCACGAGAGCCGCCATGGCTTGAGGCACGTTCTGTGTGAGAGGCTCGCCAAGGTAAAAGTACCTATGATCTCCATTGTATAGGGTTTGAGGTTTAGGGGGTTTGGGGTTTAGGGTTTAGGGTTTAGGGTTCCCTTTTTTGGTTTAACCCGTTTTGTAGTTAGGATCCTATACAATGTAACCCCCAAAAAGAGCTACAATGGAGACTAGAGGTACTGGTTCCGGATCACATCGAAGATGGTGCAGAACTGCGGAATTGAGTCGAAGAGTGATGTCAAGATGCCAGTGGCGCATATAATTTTCCGCCAGCTGACTCCCAGGAACCACTTTTGAGTGAGCCAACATCCGACAAAACTGAGAACGGCTGCCAACATGCCAGAAATCTGCCGCTGCATGTTTTCGGTCTTCGCCCACTCCAATGCCACCCACGTTCTCGCAGTCGTGCTGAGATTGAAGATACTCGTGTTTGCGAAGAAGAACAGTGCGACGGCACAGAAGGCCTGGAAAAAGAAAACGAAAGCGCACGCAATTCTGCAAGGGTCTCTAGCCCTTTAAGTGTCCATGTACTCATATAATAAGTATACCCATAGGCCCCATAGTAGTTCCCTTTGGGGATTACCTTATAGGATTCTAAATAGGAACCCCCAAATGGAACTACTATGGGGCCTATGGGTAAGTGTCCATGTACTCATATAGTAAGTATATACATTGGCCGTAGAAAGGTACCCTATATAGGGACTACCTTTAGGCGAACGTTTTTCTATAGTATGGGTTCTCTACATTAGTGGTCTCCAAAGTACGTGGTGCGGCAGCGTAAATCCTACCCGGACCCCCCAAAGCACCCTTTGTGGATTTAAAGGGTTTCATGTTTCAATGTCTTATTTGTAGGCATTTCTGCTTCGAGAATGCCCTTTAGCGGACACATAATATAGCCCTAAACCCTAAATCCTAAACCGTTAATATCTGGATGAATCTTTGGGCAGACCGCGGTGGTGGGACCTTGCTTCCAATGAAATGGTTTGGAGGCCCAGAAGTTACCAATAGGCCCCATAGTAGGTCCTTTTGGGGATCACCTTATAGGATTCTATATATGAACCCCGAAAAGGAACTACTCGAGGGCCTATGGGTAGACTTTACTGTGCTTTATTTGGCTTGAGGAACATAATCTAGGGGCCCAATATTGAGAATAGGGTTTGGGGTATATTATACTATGATTAATGACTATAATAATAAGGAACCCCCAAAACCCCAATCGAATTATGAAGGCCCCGACATTAAGACATTCGACACCAAAACCATGCCACCAGTTGAGGGGTCTTTGGGATTGAGGGGTTTAGGGTTTAGGGGTTTAGGGTTTTGCGGCTCTTCACGAGCTGGTACACTTGCGGGGCTTACGTGTGTGTCATCCCTTGCAGCAGAATGGGCCATGCTAATCTTCACGACAAAGCACGGCGCACTCGGCTTCTGTTTTTCTTGAGCCATGATGCACCAAGTGCACGTTGTTCTGCACAACTATACACAACGCGTGATGCTGCTGAGAGTCTTAGTTACTCCCGCTATCGTTGACACAATCAAACATCGAGCGCTCAACACTCCTCCTCACCACTTGGCATTAGCCGAGAGGTGCACCTACCAACATTAGCGGTCGATCCCTATCACAATAACGACACAGACGGTAGGTCCGAGGAGGTCCTGTAGCATTCCGTTGCCCATGACAGCCTGCAATCGTATGCATGCAGTCGCCGTTGGGTGTTGCATAGAACGGTCCATCAAATCCTTGAAGCCTCCTTGCATCAATCCAGTTCGGTCCTCGGTACGCCTCCTCGGTCTGGGTGGACACCGAACGGGTAGATGTAGGACATTGCCATGGCGTAGGAGACCTTGCAGGTTCCGTCATAGATCGCCGCTCTGGAGTAGCCGTCCACGTAGTTGGGCCCGGTGGCATAATTCCCGACGCCCTTGTAGAACTCGTAGCCGCTGGAGGGGTCATCTCGACCTCAGATCGTCGACGTAGCTCTTCTTTCACGGCAGCTTCGGCCTTGTTTCGTAGCCTTTCCAACCTCCGTTGTTTACGCTGCCATGTAGCGCACCACGTCCCGAATAACTTCCCCATCTTCTTGATCACCTCCCATAAAGCCACACAAGCCACCATGCTTAAACCCACAATCACGTAGAACTCCAGGGAGCTGTCCAGCTGAAGGTCCTCTTTGACATCACCTCTAGCACCTTGAACCATCATAAAACAAACCATCGCAAACATCAGGATGTTTTTATTGGAGAGCTTCTTGGCCGTCTTCACAACCACCTCAGCATTCTCCACCAGCTCATAGGGCACGATGCGCCATAACCCCAGCAACGCTCTGAACTTGGGAACATCGAAGCTGTTCGTTCCCAAGTCTGCTTTTTGTAGATCGCCCGGCACGTGGCTAATAGTCAGCCGCTGGGCAGAAACTTCTTGTCGAAGGAACCGTGCACGTAGTCTTAAATGACGTGTCTTCCAGCTCCCTGGAGCTTCTGAAGCAAGCCCCTGAGCCGCTGCATTGTCGATCTTCAAGTGCATGACCGGTTTCTCCCCCAACTCGTTCAGCATTGCTTCTACCCCCAGTCCAAGCTGTACTGAAGAAACCGCTTCGTAAAGTTCTGCTTCTGCCACCGACAACGTAATTATTGGCTGCTTTGATGCTCGCCAACATATCGGCATTCCTGCTAACTGAGCCATGATACACCCAAATGAACGTCCACCGCCTGGAGCATACGAAGCGTCCGAGTATACCGTCAGGAACGTCTCCTCCTCGTCCCTGACGTAGTGTAGTCCGTACTCGACCGTCTTGGAGAGGTAGTTCAAACAGTTCTCCCGTGGCCTTCTGAGCAAGCCTGATCAAGGCTTCCTCGGCCGGCTGAGTCTCCTCATCTGAGTCCTGGTCCTGCAACCATTCCCTCGTACACGGCACCGTAAGTGCCCCAGGCTTCTCAGCGACGCCATGTTGACGTAGGAGATCTCTTATGTACCCAGCCTGGGATATGTGTATGCCCTGTCCCATCGGCCTCAACTCCACTCCCAGAAAACGTAGATGCTCTTCATCCATCCATTGTAACGTTGAGCACTTCCAGTCATCAGTGAGCCATTTGTAGACAGTCTCAATGATCTTGGTGATGGACAACACCAACAAGTCATCGACGTAAATCAGGAGGATCCCCCTGATTTCGTCGCTGCCCACCACCTTTATTCGCCACATGTTCTCCTCCGTTTCCAAGCTCTCAAGGATCAAGACCTCGTTGTCCATGGGTATGCGAGCACTGGATAGTCGTTCGTTGCGGAATACCCCCCACCAGCGGGGGGCTTCCCTCAAGCCATAGAGAACTCGTTCAATGCCCCACACTTCTCCAGCAGCCGCTCCTCCTGCAGCTGCTACCACCGTGGGCGGGGTCATACCAAATAGCTTGTCACCCGGCATGGGAGCGAGAGTGAAGGCGTTGGCAATGTCAGTGGCTCCGGCTCTCCAGGACCTTGTAACTGCAAACGCAACCGACAGTCGTAGCCCGTCGGCAGATGTGCCTGATGCGTAGACGTTGGCCTTGTCTGCCGGCAAGTAATTGCCGCAGACTACGATCCGGCACTTGCGCCGGTATTTTCCCGCCTTCGCATCGTTAGGGTCGCTCGGCGGCTTTGCCGTAAACACTGCTTTGCCTGGTAGGATGATCATGCCCTTCGACTTCAATTCTCGTGCTTTTTCTGCCGAAAGCCGCCGAACTGTGCCACTGCTGACCAATGCGTCTACCTCCTTGAGGATAGCTCCCTTCCAACGTTCCAAGTAACGGCGTGCTTCTGGTAGACTAACGTTATGCACCACTTCTAGTGGCCCCGGAAGCGCCTCCAATATTTTCTCCACCTCATAGTCCGCTGCCTCGCCAGGGGACACCGTAGCGACACGCCGCAGATCTCGTCGACCTCGTTCATGTATAGTAGTGCTTGTCCCCACTCCAATTCCTCCTCCAGCATATTCTTGAAAGGACCTTCCCGACCTCCTTCTTGTTCTAGCGCACAACGTAATACTTGAACACGTCTGTCCAAACCATCATCTTCTCCTTCTTCACCAGACGAGGTAATCCCTTCATCCTCAAGTTCCACTTCAGGTACATATACTCGTTCCACCCCAGTACCTTCCAAAGGGAACCCGTCCTTGGAGAGATGCGCCGCCGTAGAAGTACTCAACGTAGATGCCCCCAAAGGAGTAAGCGCCGCCACAATCCAGCGCTCCGTCTCCTCACTGATGTAAGAATGTAGCTCCTTTGCATTGAAGGCCGCAACCCTTCCACCAATTTCCACCAAAGTGCCGTTGCCGATCTTTCCGTCTGGTTGTTCTCTTGTTAGTGGCTGTGAACTTCCGCCTCCACGTATTGAGTTGCCCTCTCCGCCCTCAGCAACCCAAAGTCCACCACTGACCGTTGACCCGATCTCGATCACGTAGTTCCAGGAACCTGCTTGGTTTCGTAGATCCCGGTGAGGAGGTATATCCGTAGCCTTGAAGATGCCAAGTGTAGTCCAACTCCCATCTTCCCCCAGGTCCTCTGCCACTCTTGTGCGCAACACCATGTTGAGGTACTTGGTCAGGTGGGGTCTTCGTTTGCCAGCCTTGGTTACTCCCCTCATCCCTCCATGAACATAGGCTCCCAGAATCATCGAAGTGACTTGTGGCCCTCTAGTTTTGTTGTTCTTCAACGTACCCACCAGGTCCATCTCGTTCAACACCTCCGCACATGAAACCAAGTCAAACTTGCCCATGTCATACATCAACTTGGCCTTCTGCTCTTGTCTTTCCACCAAGGTACGCATCCTCCATCCGCCAATCACCTTCTTGGAATCGTCCTCTTTCGCCCCCACCATTGCCTTATGTGCCACGGGAAGCTCCGGTGGTCCTTGTTTGTCTCTTAGACGATGATCAGCTTCAGGTAGATCAATTAGTGGAACTTCTTCCGGGCCAAAAACACCCCCACCATCATCTTCATGCGCGGCAAGTAGAGCTCGAGGATCCACCACTCCCGTCCTTAGATTCAACGTCTCGGTAAGTATGCCCGAACTCCTCAACACTACCGCGCCCCCTTTGATGGTGTCCGACATGCCCAGGTACTTCCCTTCCTCCCATCTGTCCGTGAGGTCATACTTCTTGTTATTGCCGAAGACCTTTCTCCTGATCATCACTTTGCAACCAAACGGTAACAGCATAGGCTTGGAGAGACCCAGTCGCTCATGTAGTCGACGGTTTGCAGCATGTTGCATCGCCAAAGTCCAGTACTTAAGCGGTATGTTTGCCTCAGCCAACAACACCTTGGCCCTTGTCTTGAACCATCGAACCCCCCTTTCAGCCGCACCATTTGTTTGAGGCACCAAAGCTTCACTGCGAGTGTGGTAGATGTCGTGATCTAGTAGCCATCGATGAAGTCCTCGCGAGGCAAATTCCGACCCCCTATCGGTGTGTAGTCGGGCCACTGGCAATCCCAACAACTTCAAACGTAGCACCGCTTCCTGAATAGCCAGCATTGCATCTCCTCCTCTCTTGGACCGCACTGGATAAACCAGGTAGAGAGTCTCCATCTCCACCGGCTTGGTCAGATCACCAATCAACTTTTCCCACTGCTCCTCGTCCCTTTGGAGAACCTCCTCATCCTCTGGGACCTCCGCGGCTGATATCTTGAACCTCGTAGTTCCTGTCCAGCTTCTTGGCAACGATCGAGCTCCAGACTTAGGTCCTTGCCAATCCGAAGTTTCTGTTTCAACACCGCCTCCCACATACTTGATGTCCGTGATCCGGGTATCCTCTAGCTTCGCTGGGAGAACAGGACATCCGTTGGCTGCCGTAGGTCTGAACAACGTTTTACGAGGAACTTCGTGATGCCGTATTAGCACACCAGCAGTCTCGCGAAACTCCCACCAGTCTTCCTTTGGCTCGGCCGCTTTGCCCTTGATTGCTCGAAGCCCCATCACTTCAACATCATCCTCCGGCAGCCCCGGCTCGTCAAACTCCTCGGCCATAGATGGTTCGTACTCCTCCAAATTGTCCTCGCCGGCCTCCTCTTCGTGGTTGCCTGCTTCCCCTTGTGAATCACCCTCCGCCAGCTCCACATCCACATCCAAATCCCAACCATCAAGGTCCTCATCCTTGATCACCTCGTCCTCGGTGCCCAGTTTCTGTTTGGGATACTGGTAGGTGAACACCAAAGCGTACTTCTCACCCTTTGGCCCCGCAATCCGAACCGGACCCAGCGTATCTGCACTCATCACATAGCAGTCCCGACGTAGACACCGTCGGTGAGGTCGGCCCGTTGAATTGTGGATGCACTGCACGCAGTCGGGACGATGAGGTACATGATCATTGGCCAAATGCCTTTCCCACGCCTTCCGGTCCACCTCCTTGAGCGCCTTAACCATGCGAGGATACCATCCTGGTCGAAGTTTCCACCGTTTCCACCCCCGTGCAAGGATGTGGAGCATCATAGGTGCCCATGTAGACCACGTACCCCAGGTGGACTCCTCCTTACGCTCATCACGAACCCCACGAAGCTCCGTGATGTCCATGTTGGTCACCATAGTGGTAGGCCGTCGGGACGGGTGACCCAAACCTCCTTGTTCGAAGTGCAACTTGTCCAACATCGCCTCCATAATCCACTTCTTAAACCACTCCTTCTGAAAGGCCTGCGCGCTCAGGTCCTCCTCCGCCTCCGAAGACGCCCACAAAGAGACAGCAACGCCATCATTGGGAATATCCACTGCGCGACACATCTCTTTGCGACCTTGATTGGCCACCTCTATCATAGTCATGAGTCGTAGAAGATGCTCCGTAGATTGCTCCCTCGGTAGCGCCGCCAGCACTCCAGCGATTCTCCCCGTAGCTGCTCCCCAAAGTAGAAGCTCATAGATGCCGCTCCCATCCTTTAGAACATCCCACGCTGAGTTCCTCAGCTCGTCAACATCCAACACCACGGTGTTGTTGGACTCCATAGGGCGTAGGATCTTGTCAGCCTGCGATCTCCTACCAGAGTAGAGCTTGAGGACCCAATCCTTGTGAATCAGGCGCTTTCGCATCCGCCGGTTGAAGCCCACTGCTTTCATAAGTTCCCAGGCCTCAGTCTCCGTAGACGGTATGTCCATGACGACCTTCACCAAATCTTCTCGTGGAACATTGCAAAGCCAAGGCATAGAGACCATTGCTCGAAAGCCATCCTCAAACTTCCCCGTGCTGACATACTCCTTCATACAGGACTCCCATTGTTCCGACTGAGCAATTCCCTGGGACCTCAACGTCGCCACCCTGGTGATCTCCGCCTTCTCCCTCAGCTGGGTAACCTTCTCCTCCTCAATCTTGGCGATCAAGTCCAGAGCCGTAGCTTCACTGATCTCAGGGCAACCCGAGGAAATTCTCAGCGGTATCTCCCTGCCGTCCGGCGCTCTCAAAGTACACTTCCGTCTCGTCCACACCAGTTCATAGCCTAAGATCTTGACCAGGCTTCCCACTGGCAAGATGGTTTGAGACGATGTAGATCCCGGCGAGGTCAACAAGGTGCCGGTTTCATTCTGTCTCATCTTTGCCACGCTGTCTCCTGCTACCACCACATCCACTTCTGGTGCTCGTTCCCACTCTGGTACTCGAGCCTTGCGTAGTGGGTGGGTCGCGCCAGAATCCACCAAAGCCATCCTCGCCTCCATTTCCGTTACCGCCTTCTTCAGCATTTTCATAGACGGCATAGACGTAGAAGCCGCCGAGGCCGATTGCTCCGCCATCATCTTAAGGATCTGGGTTGCGCTTTTCAGGAAGTCCTCATTGCTTGCGCCTGCTGAGGTCATCGTGGGTGGTCCCGATCCTGAGGCTGTCGAATTGGAGCTCGTTGTCATAGGACCCGTGGATGTAGTAGAGGAGGTTGTGGTGTCATTCGAGGGCATAGTACCATCTTCACGTTTATCTTGGCTCATGTTCTTGACCCTTGGCTGCCCTGAACCCTTCCCAGAGTCTCCCTTTCCACTTCCGTCTCCATCTTGCCTCATAGGACAACTCCGTTTGAGATGCCCTCGTCCGCCACAGCCCTTGCACTTGTCATTCCGATCTTCTCGTGGTACACTTTGCCAATCGTGTACAAACTTGCACTTTTGCCGTTGGCACCCGGTGTCGGATAAGTAAAACTTGCAGGGCTTGGATGTAGACCCAGCACTAGGAGAGGTTCCCGTCTTTGGTGTAGATGAACCTCCCACATCCGTTGAGGCATTGACGTTCTTAACCACAGGAACCGATACACCTGAAGTTCTCGTTCTTCCTCGGAAAGACAACTGCTCGAACTCCGCCAGCAGGCGCCCGTGGTACCGAAGTATGTTATCCAGGTTCGGCGCCGAATCCAGGTCCAAACTAAACCTCATCATATTGCTTCGAAACACTACTTCCGGGTTCTTTTCGAGTTGCGGTCGTGCTGCTGTGTCCAGGCCCTTCAATAATATGCTGGCGTCCGGAACTTGTAGTCCCAAGTCTTGAGCTCGCCGCAACCAACGCATCCACTTTCGCAAGACCTCGACCAGATCTGAGGCCGTAGACCCGCTGCCTGGATTCTCCAGTGCCCGTAGAACTTGTTGTCGTTCCGCAGCTGATCCTGGTCTGTAGATGACCAGTATGAGGCCCAGAATGCCTATCGTGGTACTCAACCGGCTGGCCATGAGCTCGTTCTTCAGGCTCTCCGGCACAGCTTGGAGCAACATGCTAGCCGCTCTCTTGTCCAAACGCAGCCACTTGCTGTCGCGAAGCTCCGCCGTGGCATAGTCCTCGGCCCGTAGTTGCACCTTCCGCACCGTAGGCACCGACATATAATCCTGGTTTAAGCGGTCCAAAGACATCATGACCTCTGCCCACCACTTCGAACTTCCATCCGTTAGGTCTCCCATCGGGCCTGCCAAGCCATGCAGCCAATCACCAACGTTGATCGCCGCCTGCTCGTCCGCCTCCTGTAGTTTGGGAAGTTCAGAGCCTGAAACCCCTGGCCGGATCACTTCAGGTTTGTTAGCCGCCATCCCCATCTGCAACGCCATCGCTTGCTGCAACTGAGACATTCCCTTCATATGTCCACGAGGATTGCCTCCTGGTACAGTATCACGATTAGGATCCTTTGGAAGACCCCCATGCTCACGCCCATGTCCTGAAAGTCCAGGTTGTGGATTGCCTTCGGGTAATCCTAGACCATTAGTAGAAGCCCCAAGCCCATCCTCATCCGCAACATGCTGCGTGAACCCTTTTCCCATGCTTGTTGTCACGTTGGCTTGACTCACAACCTCCCCACGTGCAGTAACTTCTGTACTAAGCCGCTCCACTTGTAGGCGAAGTCGTTGATTCTCCTCAGCCAAACCCCTCTGAACCCAGCGCTAACTCCACCTGCCGCTTTACCTCTGACTCCAGCTGCTCCTTGGTGTAGGATCCCAAGTATCCGAAGCTGCCCCTGTCTGAGGTCTCGGACCATACAGCTGTGGAGCCTGCGCCGCCATCTCCTGAAGGCGCCGTGACTGGACACGATCGAAAAGTGGAGTTTCCACCTCTGCGGGAGCGCTGCGAGTTCCACCCGGAGAAAACACCGTCTCCTGCACAACGGTCGCCTCAATTCCTGGCCGGCTCTGTGAAATCACTGTTGCCTGTCGTACAAATTCGCCCAGCCGCGTGAACCACCTGGCCAAATTTCTCCCATGCGGTTGTGAAGATGCTACTTCTCCTTGTCTGGTTGAACTTGCTAGAGGAGAAGGAAATGGAGAAGGCCACCAGGGTCCCATATTGCTAGCTGTTCGATTCGGTTCCACTGTTGCATGAGGTAGTAGAGGACGATCAGGCGTCTGTTCCAGAACCGTCGAAGTCGCTGTCATCATTACATCTGCTGCACTGCCCGCACTTCCAACATCACGTTGGGGTTCAACCGAATTTCCAGCAAAGTGCACTCCACTAGGTCGTTGCTCGGCAGTTCCAGCTTGGAGATTCACCTCCGCCGAAGCCGAGCTTTCTGCCAAACCAGTAGCCAGTGCCCTATGGTATTCTTCATCTCCTCCATCTGGCATTATGTGCCTTGCAACACCGTTGGGAAGCCTCTGCCCCGGCCTGTCATCCGCAGCCGTCGCGCCACTTGGGCTCATCACCTGCTGCTCTTCACGAGCTGGTACACTTGCGGGGCTTACGTGTGTGTCATCCCTTGCAGCAGAATGGGCCATGCTAATCTTCACGACAAAGCACGGCGCACTCGGCTTCTGTTTTTCTTGAGCCATGATGCACCAAGTGCACGTTGTTCTGCACAACTATACACAACGCGTGATGCTGCTGAGAGTCTTAGTTACTCCCGCTATCGTTGACACAATCAAACATCGAGCGCTCAACAGGTTTAGGGTTTAAGGGTTGAGGGGTCTTTCGGATTGAGGGTTTAGGGGTTTAGGGTTTAGGGGTCTTTGGGATTGAGGGTTTAGGGGTTTAGGGTTTAGGGTTGAGGGGTTTTGGGATTGAGGGTTTAGCAGACTGTAGGCTTTAAGGGTTTCGATTATTGCGGGGGCAGGTGCAAGCCAAATGACACCCAAAGAAAATGAGCCGATAAGGCTCTTCTTTTTGCTCGTGGCCTTAACACCCTTAGAAGAGCGCCGATGGGACCCTCTTTTTGTTGATGGCCTTGCTTTCCAGCAGATGCCATGAAGACCGGCAGTACCCGCGAATGGAGGATCTTCCCCCCGGTCGCTCTTGAACGTTGAAGATGCAGGCAACCTTCGCTCTGAGACAACAACCTACCCTGCACCTACCAGAAAACTCCATCTTGGGGCGTTAAAAACGGTTTAGGGTTCGTAGGGTTTCGGAGAAGTAGGTCTAAGCAGGTTATACGGTAGATGAAGGTACTTGCCCAGTATCCTCGGCGAACTAAAAGCTAATCTTTGGAGTTCTAGAGGGACGACAGTAAACCAAAAGGTCAAAGGTTACCTGCACTGCTAAGACAAGGACGAAAACTCATCTAAAAGCGCAGGCTTTAGCCCTAAACCCTAAACCCTAAACGGGCTTTAGGGTTGAGGGATTTAGGTTAGGGCTTGGGGGACTTGGGGGTCTAAGGTTCTGAAGCACTGAACCCAAGAACTGCATTTTTTAGGGTTTAGGGTTCAGGGTTTAGGGGGTTTTGTCTACGGTTTCACTGGATTGCAGTGTTTCGCAGGGGTTTAGGTGCACAGGTTGAGGCCCTGAATTTTGGGGAGTAGGGTGTAGTCACTTTAGTCTACATCTATGTGGGGGTTTCCGAAAATAGGGGACCCTAATATAGTACCCTAAATAGTAGGATCCTTACTATAAGGACCCCTAAATAAGGTACCCCCCTTTTTGGGTCCTTATTATAATACGGCACCTATTATTTAGGGTACCCCCAAAAGGGACCATACTTTTGACAACTACCCATCCTATGTTTCATAAACATGACGGCTCCCCGAGCTGTTTTAAACAAAGATCCACAAACAAAAAGACAGAAACACAGATCGGTTTAGGGTTTAGGGCTTAGGGTTTAGGGTGACAGAAACATAGAACTTCAGGGCCGAGCAGCACCTGTCACCAAGCACACCATAGCAAGAATGGCCACAGCTTGCTCATAGCTGAGCTGGTTTAGCTGGCTGAAGCTGCCCGTGAACATACGCCCAGTGAAGCCTGGGTTCCCCAGTAGCCCCTTAATAATAAGGGTACCGTTGTTCCTACTATTGGGTTTTTAATAATCGGGAACCCAAAACGCAAAAAAGGGGCAAAAGGGTACTACTGGGGACTCGAGAAGCCGAAGGCTACGATCGTCAGAGAGATGAAGTATCCGGTCATGTGGAACATCTGAAGCAAAGTTTGTGCACGACCGCGGCGCTCCAGCGGCTCTCCCTTGGCATACTCCACCATGAGCCTTAGTTTAGTGTTTAGGGTTTAGGGTTTAGGGCCTCCAAGGCTCCAGGAACCATTGTAGTATATCCTTAGGCCTTCGAGTAGTCCCTCTATAGGCACTTAAAGGCCTAAGAATACACTCTATAGGTACATGACGTCCTTGAACCTTAGAGCACTTGAACCCCTAAGTATATATACTATATAATTAGAAGCACATGGGGCCTTAGAAGCGTTAGCCAAACAAACAATTCAGGAAAGAAGAATGTATCCAGAATTGCAGACCCCAAAAACATCGGAGAAAACTCAACCCTAAAGCCCGCCCAAAAGACCCTAAGGTAGGGGCCTTTTATAATTAGAATAGGGCTTTGGGGGTTCCTTGTTGTAATCATAGTATAAGAAACCCCCAAACCCCATTCTAATTATTACGGCCCCTCTACTACCTTTTTAGGTTTCTTTATGATGATGTCCTTACATCGCACGTTCTTAAGAAGTTAGGATGTTCAATCAATGTCCAGGTACACCTCAAAGCCTCTCACACTCACAAGAATCCCCCACCGTTGAACCTTGAGCCTCAAAGGGGTAGTTGTCAAAATTATGGTCCCTTTTGGGGGTACCCTAAATAATAAGGGCCGTATTATAATAAGGACCCACAAAGGGACCATAATTTTGACAACCACCCATATATCTAAGGGCTTTAGGAGGGACCCTTAATAGGGACCCTTGTAGGTTATTGGGGTTAATATGGAGACTACCTGGCTATATAGGGGATTTTGATTAAGGGTCCCTATTTGGGGTGCCTCCTAAAGTCCTTAGAATATAGAGCCCTCCGGAACCCTAAACCCTAAACCCTAAACCCTAAACCCTAAACAAACACCCTAAGGCCCCTAAAGCTTCCCTTCTAAACCTGAACTTAAGCCAACCTAAGCCCTAAGCCCTACCTTGAACCCTAAACCTCAAAACCCCATATGAACCCGGAACCCCAAGCCCAAGAACTTTATGAACTGTACAAAGCAATCAAAGAGCCCGTTGGCTGCAGCTCTGGCCGTCGTGATGCCCAAGTTTGCTATACAGACGCAAGCCTAAGTTTTTTTTCGTGGGGGGGGGCTTCAGAACTAGAAGAAGGTTTAGGGTTCACGCTTCCTTTTGCAGGTTCCTGATGAAGACTTACCATAAAGGTCACACTAAGGGCCACCCATGCCTGGCAGCCACTTCTAGGGGTTTTTAGGGTGTCGGGCTAGGGGGACCCAAAAGAAGGTTTCAGGTTTAGTAAGTTTTGTGGGCTCCGGGTTGCCAACATGAGGCTTAAGGGTTCGGAGTTTGGGTTTAGGGCTTGAGGGTTTTAGGGTTTTAGGGCTATAGGGTTTAAGGTTTTCGGGTTCGGAGTTTAGGGAATACCCAAGGAGTTTATGCAGGTTTAGGGTTTAGGGTTTTACCATGCTCAGAATCAAGTGATGCCGACAAGGAAAGCCCAGAAGCCATGAGGGGCACGTAGAACTCGACTGCGTCGGGATTGCAGGGGGGCTGGTCGTAACGGTACCTCTCATCCGCGGCGCTGAAGCAGTAGTAAGGGGCTGGGAGGCCCATTCCAATCAGGAAGAAACAGCAGGCCGCAGCCAGGAGCCAGCCTCCAGGTATGTAAGGGGTTTAGGGTTTAGGGGTTTAGGGTGTAGGGTTTAGGGGTTTAGGCGT